TATAAATCAAGCAACACAGGAGACAGTGTGTTCTCCATCATTCAATCTTCCCTGCAGACCATGCTTTTGAATGGTGTCTAATGGTTGCTGTGGGACCAGGAGCTTTCCAGCTATTACCCAAAGCTGGGTAAGGAACATTAAAATACACACATACCTTGGCACTAGCTCAAACTCCCTGCAGTCATACTTCCTGGACTGGGAAGCAGTCGCATCTAAGTATCTTTTAAGAATTTACTTTGTTTTGACCAAAGAAGACTTTTTAGGTCAACTTCATTAAAAAAAAAAAAAAAAAAATGCCAGTTGAACTGGTGGGAAATTTCCAGATGCCTTGGTGTATTTCTAAATGATATCTTGTTAGCAATAGTCAAGTATTTTAGAAGTTGGACCTGCAGCTTGCTGCCAAAGAGTATATAAAAGTTTCTTTATAGGTAACTATACTCTGGGCAGTGTGCTTTTCTTTCATAGTCTTATGTACTCTGACTGAAATGTGAAAATTACAATATTATGTAAATTATGGTTATGGATATTTAATTGTCATGAGTTTTAATTTTTTTTGTAAGCAAGTTATTAAAGCCTTTGATTATTCCCTGTGCTTCCTGAAATGCTGTTAATAAAAAATCCTGATCTTTGTAGCTTTCCATATTAGATTGAAATGCAGTATGCAAAGTAGCCCTTTCAATGTAGGATGTTGCTTTTGGAGAGGGATATATATTCCCTAGGTATAGATCATGACAGAATATTCCAGTCTAAATCTGATAGACAAATTTGATTAGCTTTGTGGTTTCTCTTTAGAGGGATTTTTGGTTCCTTGTCATGTACTTCCTCCATTATGTATCCCAAATAAGTTCACGCTTCTTATCAGTGATGAAATAGTTTTAATATAAGATCCTCTTGAAGACTGAACACTTTATTTTCTTATTTAACGTTTGAACTCGTTTTTGGGGTTCTTAGAAGAAATTACCTTTTTTATTTAAAATAGTTATTTTGACCTTAATCTAATATTATTGCTCTGCATTTAAATTTTATTATGTGCCTTTTTCTATAGAAGCATGATTTATGACAAGGTAGGATAAAGTATGTAAGGGTTTTCCAAGGACTTCTAAAAAATACCCATCTCTGGCCTTCTGTCTAGTTAATGCTTCCTTCCCAAATCTTATGGCTTTCTTTTTATATTTATTTTCCTCCTTAGTCTTCATAATCATATAAGGAAAATTAAAATAAAAACAGTTGCACACATCTTAAATATGCTTTGAAATTCAGGAATATTCATGTTTATTTAACAAATTTGGATCAAATTTTTTTAGGTTATAGAAAGTTACAGTTTCTAAATGATCGTAGATAGTTATAGTTATGTTCTTAAAACTTACCCAGAAGACTGTCTACAGTGTATCCGCAGTAACATTTATTCATCTAGTAGACATTTGTTGAGCACTGCTTTCACCGAACTAAAAAATACGGCTTCAAACTCCAGAAGGTTTCAGGATTTACTGGGGGATGAAAGTGGGAGGGGAGAAGATATGAACTAATACAAATTGATAAGAAAAAAGAAACAAAAAACAACAACAACAAAAAAGGGAGAATGCTATGGGAGGCATAGAGGAGGGAGCAATTAATTCCACCTAAATCATTTAGGATATTTTGCCAGAGGTGGTAACATTTGATATGAGCCTTGAAGGATAAGAATATATTAATAGGTGGGAAAAGAGGGGAGACAATGGGAAAGGAATGAAACAGTGTGAGTGAGAAAGGTGTCAGTTGATATTATGAAATTAATATAGCTACTAGTTTTGTTTATATAATCTGTTTACCCATGATGCTCACTACCAGCTCTGTCCAGTTAAGTTACTCTTTTTGGTCATATGAGTTATCAACAGCCTCAGTCTTAGCGCCAAACTCATTGAAATGATTGGATTAATTTTCATTTTGCCATATAATCATAACTTGAGATGAAACAAAAGGAATAAAAAGTAATAATCCACATAGCTTTTCATCTTTCCAGGGGTGGAAATGATCCCAGTGAAATGATTCCATTTGACTGATATATGCATAATTGCTAAATTTAAGGGATGATCAACTTCCAAACCATTTAATATGAAATGTTGAGGGCTAGCTTAATGAAAATACAGAAAAGAGAAGTTCTTACCACAATCATGCGAACAGGAGAAACTAGGTAGAACACCTGTAATACAGGCCTTTCGCATAAGAAGGAATGTTTATGTGTTGTTATGCACACAAATATTAAAAGACCATAGGATAACCTTCTTGAATGAGGCAATATTTCTACGTAATAGTTTGAAGACAGAGAAGCACATGGTTGGAAGGACACAAAAGTAATAAGGGAAAAAGGGAACTCTACATAAAAGAGAAGAAAACCATTGGTTAAGAGTACTTATGAGCTATGATTTGGTATAGAATATTAGGAATATCCACTAAAACACTTAAATAACTAATTCACATCCATGTTAAAATCTATGGTTAAGGTTAAAAAGTCAAGCGACTTCTTTTTTTAAAAAATCAATTATTCAATAATATTTTAAAAGTACATTTTAGGCCAAGGCTCCTTTTTAAATGGACAGTTCTTTAATTCTAACTGCTTAATAAATATTATAATTTTTTAGTATAACATAGGCTGATTTATATATCCTTTTTAAGTACTTAGGCGTATCATTTTCTTATGTTTTCTGTACCTTCCTAGTTAGTGGAAACATTGTTTGTTCTTGGAGTGTGCTTTGTCTTCCTTTTCAAGAAGATCATCAAAGTTACTAGTTTGCAGCTTCCAAAAAGAAAGAGCCTTCTAATCCCTAGTTCAGAGGCTAACCTTTATTAGTGCTCTCGTGGTTATAATGAGGACCCTGCTTCCAGCAGGGAGATTCTGGAATACTGAACAGATTATTCAACAAGTTCAGAGCAGATTCTGAAGTCCCTTATAAAACCTGCTTGTGAATACTGCTTTCTTTGCTTTGCTGTTTCTGGTTTCCATAGTATTCCTAATTACATAAATCATGTGGAACATGGGAGCTGTTTTCCATCCAGTATCAATTCTGACACTGCTTATGCTGTGGTATAGTTTTAATTTTTTTTCTAAGCTGTATTTTTTTTCTAAAATTCTTATGGACAGTGTAAACTTTGAAAAACCTAGAATTTTTGTTGTTAGATCTAGTAAGTGCTTTTTTTGGAGTCCCTTGGGCTGACATAAAGAATTTGAAAGTTATTTTGTGACAAGCATAGATAGGGAATCTGATAAAATTTTCTCGTGTTTAAATTCAAGATTAACTCTAAGGTGTAAATCATTCAAGCTTATCATCTACTGCTCAATTTATTAAATTTTATTTCAACTTAGTATCTATTTATGTCGTGCCTTTCAGTGTTCAAAAAGTATGGCAGGTTCAATGAGTATACCAATTAAAGGTGTATGAATTAAAATCTAATGCATAGTAATATATGAATGTGTAGCAATAAACTAAAAGCACTGATGATTCTTAAGCTAGGTTTCTTTTGAAAAAAATTGTAATCAAGATTGATTTATATTTTACATTTTTTAAAGGTTGAAGAGTTATAATTCTGAATATAAGCTCATTTATCTTTTAATTTGTATTGCTTTTATAGTATTTATGATCTTATTTTTTTTAAGTTTGAGGTGTTTGTTATGATAAGACTTAGAAAAGCAATTACTCTAAGAGAGTATAAAAATGGGGTTGATAGATGAATTTCAGGAATTAGTTTCTCAAGCTAAATAAGTGAATTTTATGCATACATCTAAGAAGATGTTTCAGCAGTCATTGGCTCATAATTTCCTCCTAACTTTATTTATACTATATTAGTAGCAAAATCTTGAACCCCATTTTCAACATTCTCCTTAGTGTTGAACATATTAGACAGACTATATATTATGCTTTGCTAGAGAGTTGTGGAACTTAGTGCCATGAAATGCATAACTTTTTTACCAAGAGCAAAATTTAGCAGAATACCAGTAGCAAAGGCCGTTTGCATAACTGAGCCTCTCAGCAGCTCAGCTGAACCTAATTGTAATTCAATTTCCAGATTGCTATGCTAGGCCTCTTTGCATAAAATATGCAACATATAACATAACTAACAGCATGACCTATTTTCTTTGCCGGACCTATTTTCTTTGTCGGTGATCTATTTAATTCCTTTTTCTAGCAGAAATGTGTATCAGAATAAGGTAGCCAATACATATAGTTATTATGTATGTTTAAGTTTGTGTCACATGTATATACTTAAATAATGACCAAATACAGAAAAATATTTACTTTTTGTGGATTCCCAAGTGTGCCATTTTTATTTCTTGATTTCTGGCTTTTCAGAGGAAAATTAAATCTTGAAAAATGTTAGCTAGCTGCCGTGTTATTGGACTGTTTTACACTAGAAAGACTTTATAAGCTAATCGTGTGAAAAAGTGTATGAACATGTTTGTCAACTCCTTGTGGATGTTGCAGTACATACTCATTAGTAAATATCTTTTATCTGTTTACAAAACGCGTGCTGGAATAGCATTCTTAAATCCTTGACTGTTTCATATTCCAGAAACTGAAAAAAGAAAGGTATGATAAACTGCTTGCTTAAAATTCTCCCTGCTATTTTTAAACAGTCTTGCCATCCTGTTGTATGGGTTACTTAAGGAATGCAACAAAAATCTTCAAATAGGATGGCTTATAAAGGTGTGGATTATATTTTATGAATAATTTCCAGATGTGATGTTTTAGGTATATAGACTCCTCTACAAGAAGCTATATACAGAAACAACATGGATCTTACAATTTTATCGGGACAATGCAAGTAGATTTCAGCAAGGTTGGTTCCAACTCATCTGTGATAAATGAGAAGATAAGGCAATCAGTGCACACCATGACACTCTGTGCAGCTAGTTAGGCACACTTCAGAACTACTCAGGTGTGCTCACAAAGCTTATGAGTCTTGCATGGGGGGTGTCTCAATATAAATACATCCTTCATGGTGGCCACTAGTAACGCAGGAATTGCCTCTCTAAGACTTAACCCAGGTCAGATATAAATAATAGATGTTAAGAGTTAGCTCTGGTATTGGGGCTGTGTTCCAGGCAGTGTATTTCGGTTGGGTTGGGTCAAAAGAATTTTTTTCCCTTCTTTTCTTGAATAGTTCCTCTGCTTGAAAAATGCCTGCAAAATTCCATCACACCTTTGCGGGGACCACTTTGGGTCTCTAAGGGAGAAGGTTTCAGCCCCTTAGGAGCTAAGATGTACATCCAAGGAGTTCTTTTGGCCCTGTACCAACGATTAAAGTCTACAAAAAAATATTATAAACAGGTGAGTCATCCCTCTTTAAAAATTGCTTTATTATATGTTTTAAAAATGTGCTTGGTTGTATAGAGGCAATGATTGGCATTGTGTCATAAAAGAACTGTGACATGTATTTTGTGAGCTCAGTGCTCGTTAGGGAGCCAAAAATGCTGCTTCTGTAATCTCAAAGCCAACAATAATGGAGCTAATTGTGTCTGTCTTTTGGTATAAGATGTCATATGTCTCATCTTTTCTTGCAGCGCATAGTGGGCAAAGTGAAGGCAACTTCTTACATGGAAATTCTATAAACTATTACTTTAAGAAAATAAATAGCTCCTAAGTCATTTGAAGGTTTAAATGTTTAGCATTCTATTTTTTTCCAGCATAAAATCAGATTTATGGGGGTTAGAATACGACAAATCACATTCTGAAAAATGGAATCGCGAATCAACTTCATGTCAAGAGTAACTTACTTCATTTATCCTTATTTAACTTCTCTATTTCAGGAGTCAAAAGTATACAAACAGAGTTAGTTTATTTGAATCAGGTTAAACTGGATTTTGTCCTTTAATTCCTGTGTATTTATTTCATATTTGTATGTGTGTGTGTAAAGGGTGATATTTTTATAATCATGTGTAGGGACTTTTGATTTATCTTAAAGTATGATTCACATTTGTAAAGCAGAATTACGAAGCCATTTATAACATAAAAATGAAATTGCCACATTTAAAAAATCCTCTTTGTACTTGGTTTTAAGAATTGAAGCACATATTTTTACCAAGCTAAATAAGGACTGGGTTTTACATTTTGAACTGGGAGGTTCCAGTTTAGAACTGGGCTCATTATCTGAGACCACAGACTGCTGAAAAATGAATATTTTGAAAGCATCATGCTATTATTCTCTGCTTGCAGAGAGGAAGGGGAGGTGGGAATGGGCTGTCAGTCTTAGTGTTCACACAGCACCTCCTGCTGTAGAGTTTGGAAAAGAACAACTTGTATTGACTTTGGAAGAAAGTGTTGTACTAAGGTATCCAGAATTAGCAAAAAACATCTTCCCACGAAACTTCGCAAAATGTGTTTGGTTTGCCTCGTTAATTTCAGCAGATCCAGAAACAGGGTTAATAATTATAATAGATAAGGCTATTCGTAATAATACAATGAAAGAAATAAAAATCCAAACTAATGTTCTCTATTAAGCCATTATATATAGAAACCAGTATAAAATATTTTATTGCATTTAGATTAAATTATTTTAGTTGTAATATTTACGTTTTAAGATATAATGATATTGTAAAATGGATCATGATGAATTGCATTACAATAATTTTTTTGAAATTATGTGGTTTGATTCCACTTACTGAAAATTAAAATTATTTAATGTTAGAAGAAATAATGAGACAATTCTCCAATTCAAGAAAAGCAGTGTTTAAATAAAATCTAAAGACAAATTTAAACATTTTCTAAGTTTTATTTCAAGTAAGGGTGTTAGAAATAAGAAACGTCCCGGAAAGTAATGGCATGTTTTTCTTACACTGTCTTAAACATGTAAAATTTAAATAAGTATAAATTGCTATACTAGATTTAAAAGAGCTCTGTGCATTGTAAGAAAAAAATACTTTCAGAATTACTTAGTGCTTTAATTAAAAAATTTCTTTATGATTCAAAATAGATGAAAAACATATTTTATTAAATATTAAATTATGAACAAAATTTAACCTTTCAGTGTCTCTGTAATTGTCTGTTTGGGAAATCTGTAAAGATTTCAACATTATATGAATTTAAGAATATTTTGAAACCTATGCTCTCTGCCATTTCTCCTAAAGCTTTTTTCTTCCATTAAGTTGTAATTCAGAGCTTTCCATTCAGCAGTTTTAATATGATACTTAAGTTTTATTTTGAAATATAAAAATGAAGAAAAATAAGCAGAAATTTGCTCATTATGCATTTTTATGTAAATTTCTGTTGCTTTAGATGTGCTCTATTTTATGTATGCTTGAGGTTTTCTTCTTTTGTAGTGTTATACCAAGACTTAATTTAAAATTATTTGAATGTTTAGAGAATTCACTATAGTGATATCCTTATCAGACCATCAATGCTTAGGTGTTAAGCCTGACAATATCTTTATTTGTGAGTGGGATTTCTTAGCAAATATCCTTCTGAAGCATTAATGAACTTTGTTTGAACTACACTTACTTCATTTGACCTTTGGTATAGCCTTTTCTATTTAGTTTTATATAAGATTGTGTTAAAGAATCTTTAGATAGGTGAAATGGAGTTAGGTGATGATTCCTATTTCCTTAACAAATTAAAGTTTATAAATCATATGATTAGATTTTTCTTGATATTATTTCAATTTATTTCACTTTTGAGATCACATATAAAAACAACAATATTGTCTTGATGTCTGTCAAAATATAAGCTTTAAATGTTGTCATTCCCAAAGGAAATTTCTTTTAATAAATCGCGATAATATAGCTTTAAAAGAAAAGTCAGGGCGACTGGTTTTATGTTTACGAACTTACTCATTTTTCAATTTTTAACTTTAGCTTGGCTGTTATAGCATGCAACTGAATTAAGCACACTACATTAGGGTGGTCTTAAATATATACTGATTCGTGTGTATTAAAATGAGATATTATATTTAGAACAGCATAAAGTCACTTAGTCTTACATTTATCACATTTATTTCCTTAAAAGTGGAAACATCTTAGAAATTGCTTGGAGCTAAGCAGAATCTATTTAATTGGTAATCTTTGCAATTGCATAAACGCATTCCTATGAAATGTAGTTAACACTTTCAGTGACAGGGCCTGTTCCATCTCATTAGCATTCTTGTTATGTAGTGGTGCTGTTGGTGGGGGTGTTGAAGTAGGAATGCCATTGTGTCGAGTTCTAGTGTTTGGGGACAAACACTGCTGTGGAAGGAACGTGTGAAAAGGCCACAGTCCTGTCAGTGAATGAGGAAGGCTGTGCTTTCTGTGTGCTTCAAGCAGGGAAGCTGTCATTCATAGGCCTAACACAGCTAAGCAGAGGCCAAAACACAAGGCTGCACTACCTTTTAAAATGATATTAGTGATTTTTAAACATGATCTTCTTTATTTATGATCCTACATAGAGCTTTTAGCTGCTGTCAGTAAACAAAATATGGTAGTCTGTTCAGAAACACTGTAAAGATGCATAAATGTGTATGGAACTGTGCCAGGCAGCCATACAAATAATGACTCAGAATGGCTGATGGGCAGTGTTAAGTACAAATGTGATTTTTGAGAAACACTCATTTCTGAAAATGTCTTCACAAGTTTGAATTTTTCCCCAAACCAACAAAATTCCTGGAGACTTTTACAAAAGAATGTATAGCACTTTTTTTTTAATACAATTTTTGAAAATGCTTATAAACTTTCAGTTTTAATCATGTAAAGCTGTTCACAGTATGACCTAACAGTTCTTATAGATTGCATAGTTATTTTTGAAATTCAGAGAGAAAAAAAGGGAAATGAGTATCTAACTATAATATGATAAGCACCATCTTAATTAGGAAGAGAGTCATAGCCCCTGATTTCGTTAAGCCATGAAAAAATGCATCTGTGAATTTATGAAATTTTAAGAAATTTTTAATTCTACTCCAGTTTTTAGCACTTCGGAATAAAATGATTAAGTTTGAGATTAAATTTTAGCTGATTTGATTACTTAAAGCAAAATAAATAAACCAAAGTATTCTCCAGTATTTCTTAAATTCTTGGGGTATTTTCTAAACTTTGGTAGTGTATTGAAAAACACTGCAATTTCTATTTATGTCTGAAGTTGCGGGAAAATGTTTTATTTCTGTAATTTTAATTTAGAAATGTGTATTTGAGCTATTTCTAGTAAATCATTACTTAATAAAGTTTGTTGAGGATTATATAATTTTTGGCCTGAGTGATTTAAATTTAAATTTTTTTGCATGTATGTAGTCTCTTTTGTTTATTAATTTAAGCAAGTTAACTTTTTTGGAAGCTGTTATATATGCTATATGTAAAAGTTCTATATTTGGCGTATTGTGTTTAGCGATCTCAGGTACTGAATTTCTATTTCAAAAATTAGGTTTTACTTTTTAAATTATAGCAATATTGCAGATTTATCTTGTGGGCATATTATTTGATGAGGAAATAACCATCTAGCTTCAGTATATATTGTTTTTGCAGTTTAAAATTGAAATGTATTTTGTTAATATACTAAAACTAAGCTCTATCAAAGCACTTAAATTTTGTTTAAAAAATTGTGTAAGTAAATGTTGGCTCACTTTATCCACACTTTCAATAAGTTTGGTAATTAGGTATCAAACAACAGTATAATATAATTATATCCAGAATTGATTCAGCTCAAAATATGCTTGAATTACATTTATTATTGACAAAATTTGTTTATTGCATAAAGTATTTAAAAAGGAATCTTAGTATTTTAATTTTTCAAAAAAAAAGTGCTTAAAGTTAGTCTTTTCAGATCCTGTGTCAATTAAAATAATTTATTGGTTCTACATTATTGAATGAATAACTATTTCTATTTTATTTTCTGTATATACTTTAAAAATTGAGCTGTTTCTTTGACTTAGTCTTTCTGTGAGAACACTTAAAATATTTCAATATTTAAAAAACTTCTTAATTATCCTTTGAAATCTTGGAACAAAATCTATAATATATAAACACAATGTACTATTAAAAACATGAAAATAGCGTGACAGTCATTTCGAGATGAAAACTACTTCTGAAGGTTCTGATAAGTAATTTTTTTTAGAATATTAGGTTGTTTGTAGATTTGAGTGATTGTTGATTTTTTTTTTCCTGAAACCAAGCTGCATTCTAGTTACTTGAAGTATTTTAAGAACCTTAAACTTGTGTCTCTTTCTAAGTGTCATGCTTTGAGCAGGCCTAACATCAGTTAAATGAAGTGAAAATTGCATTCTTGTCTTGATAGAGATGAAAATGGATTTCTGGTCATGAAATAGATGTAGTTGTCACTTTTTAAAAAAGGTGTCAGCAGTTTGCTTCAGT